TCCTGAGCAGCCCAGACCTCTCCCTGCACTTTATGTGATTTTGTATTGTGCCCATTCTTATAATGGAGATATTTGAGGTCAGGTAATATGACACATGCTTTTTAATCCCTGGAAGCACCTGTCTCAGGGCCTTATACACTGTGGAGTTAAAAAGGCAACAATACAGTTAAAATAAAAAGCAACCATAAAGATAATAACAGATAACATTTATGGAAGCTCACACTACTTGCCAAGCACAAACTGTTCTGAATGGATTATTTTATTTAATACTCATAATTGTATGCATTAGAGACTAGACAACCTTATTTTATAAAGAAGAAAACCAGAACCCATTAAGGTAACTTGTCCTATTAAACTATTAATAAGATTTTAAATAAAAAGCCATTTCTATCTCTTGCACATATTGCACGCTTTGGAGCCTATAATTCCATTTAAGTGAATGCAGTTTACTAAACTATGAGTTTATTGACTATAGGAGCCTTAATTATTGTTTGAATCCACAGAAAGGGGCATGAATGTATGAATGAATTAAAGGATGGATGATTTCAACTGTGCAGTTGACTCCACTTCTGAATGGCTTGCAGGGGTAGCCTGCTCTGTACTGAGGGTTTTTTTCTGTTTTAACCAGGATTACCAGAGGATCCTTCTATACAGACAAAGAAACCGAGGCTCAGTTACCCTGTGATTTGCCAAAAGCCACATTGCTCGGTACAAGTGGTCACAGGACTAGAACCCAAGAAGATTATGGGGCTTCCTGGAAGCTGATCTCCGCTCTCCAGGCCGGCTGGCAGCCGCAGGAACGCTACGCTAGCTGGTGCTCCTTCCTCCACTGACGGCTACATGCCCTTGGTCCTGACCACAGTCCACCCCTCTCACTGCCTTTTTTCCGAAGCCCTGCCTACTATCCATCCTTGATCAGAATGAATTCTGAATGCATATGAGGGTTTCATTAACCTGACAGCTATCTGCCTTAGATATATTTTTTTTAAAGTTAACATCAAAGCACTTCATAAGTTTGATTCTTGTGTGTGTAAGTATTCCTGAGTCCAATTAACTACAGACTCTTTGTGGGGGAGGGGAAAAGGTTTTTGGAATAGCAGGTCTGAAGTCTCAGGCTGGGGCCCCAGTGAAGACACTGGTCACAGCTGCCATTGGGCCTCTCAGAGTAACATCCTGATTTCATCTCCCCAAATGCATATAATTTGAAGTTTTAGTGTTAGTTCTTAATTAATTGGCAAAGATGCACATTTCCGATCAACTCTGCATTGCCTGGGGGAGATTAAAACACAATCAGAAGCTCCAGTCCTCTGTTAACTGGGATTTCACTAAACGCAGCACACACTCGGAGAATGGAGGGAGACGCAGAGAGGAAGTGACAGAGAGACAAACAGGGATTCAGAGAGAGGGTGTTGGAGGGAAGCTTATTTCCTGAGCAGAGAGTCATTCCAAAGATATCATGAGCAGCAAATTAAACGATCCTTCAGCAAGAATTTTGACAGGAAAATTTCATTAGGGATTTAAATCTCTATGGAAGCCCAAGTTACTGCATTAAGATAGGAAAATTGTGCAAATATTGTTCCTTAGGCTAATGTTTGCTGCAGGTCATTGAGTTTTATTCAATGAAATTTAGAGTGATGAATGTCATATTGAAAATAACAAGAGGAGGGAGGGGGCGAGGGAAGGAAGGAAAGAGCCTTGCATCGGGAGCTCAGGCCCTAGAGTTATTTAGATTGGAAGGTAGACTCCAATATTAACCAGCTGTGAGACCTTGAGCAAGTTTATTTAACATCTCTGAGAGCTAATTTCCTCATATATAAAATGAGAGCTCCTGCCAGTAACTCTCTGCTAGACCATGATTGTGAGAGTTTTAATGAGATAATCCAGGTAAAGCCCTTTGGCACAGAGCCTGGCACGTGTAAATTCTAAACATTTATTAGCAGGATTATGATACCGAAAGTGGGCTAATGTTTATCTCACACTGACTTCTTGTCAGTGTTGGTGATACTAACCTACCGGTATTGTTATTATTATTTTTAAATTTTTATTTATTGACTTGAGAGAGAGAGAAGCACTGATTTGTTGTTCCACTTATTTATGCATTCTTTGGTTGATTCTTGTGTATGTTCAGACCTTGCGGTATCAGGAGGACACTCTTAACCAACTGAGCTACTCGGCCTGATTAGGTGGTCATTGATGAGTACTTAGAAAATATTTGTGAAATGAATTAATAATTTCATAAATAAATAGATGATGCATGAGTGAATGGAACATATAGTGTTTTTCCCAACTAACCTGTGTCTCAAGGACTCACCCATAGGCCTCTCACTGTTTATTTATTTGTTTGTTTTTGTTTCAGGGCATTCTGGCATTTTGATTCACATAATCATATGCCACTTTGTAGAAAACAGGAGAAAGGTTCTGTATGCTTTCATAACCCAAATATTTAAAGTTCCCTTTTTGGCATTTGTTTTTTCCCATCATTGTAACAAAGGATGTTCCTGTTGCAATATTATATGAACATAATTTTCCATCTTGCTGTTCTACTTAATAACAATATTTCACACAGCAATTATTTTCATGGTAATTTAATAAAACATGATAGATGTGTCATACGATGTTTTACTTAAATATATTCTTGCTTGCTTTTAGAATGTATGAACTGTTTCATTAATATGAATATTGTTGCACAAAATGTTTTTATGGATATGAGACATAGGTTTTCAGGGTTAGTGACTGATGACGGGACCACTTTTCTCTGAGGAGTACACGGTCTTTACTGTGAACCTCACCTTCAGCCACTATAGCGATGGACTGTGGTATCCAGTTTGGGGGCAAGGGCTGGATTATTGTTTAAAGGAGATTATTTTAACCATTTGTACCATATCCAAGCCCTGCCAAGTACACTGTGCTTGATAGATAATTCACGACTATATATGAAAAGAGAAAGGGAAGCAGGGAAAACAAAGAAGGAAATTAGGTAAATGAGATGGAATGAAAGAAAGAGAGAGGGAGAGGGAGAGAGAGAAAGAAATCAGCAGGCCCATTCTTCTATGTAAACTTTCTAATATTCCAAATATATGTCTCCCTACAACCATACTTTCCAGACATCAGCTTAGCATGTGACCAAATCACAAGATAAAAAAGATATGACATACTCTTAGTAACTGCCCGTAGCCGGGGAATTTCTAGAGACCAGAGCCTCACTTTTCAGAGAACTGCGAGAATCCATGGCTACCATCACTATTTTTTTTTTTTTTTTCCACTTTTCCCAAGGAGAGCTAACTTTGCAAAGAATAGAGTCCCTAATACTGCATAGTCACTTGCCTTGCCAAGGCAAAACACAATCAAGTTAAACTAAAGAAAACATTTCCCCTTTAAAAAATTTTTACATTTTCCGGATGGAGCGTAGCTAGAAATTCAGAGGCAAAATGAAAACAAGGGTTTTGAAAAGATGTTGAAAGATGGTTGGACATACTCATTGCCCAGCAACGCGCACACTCACAGAGGGCGACCTGTCTGCTGTCAATATGCAGGCTTCTCTCCAGGGTATTTACGCCTGATTGGAATTCAGAAAACATAGCATTGCCTTTACAATTTGGAAATGCCTGTCATTATCGTCACTGGACAAAACTGCTGACTCAATAAAAGTTCCTTCTCCTTAGAAGCGACTCCGTTATAGAGTCATCACAGCAACAGAAGATTATTTACAGATAGAGTAAAAACTTCCCATTCGACCAGAATTGGCCATAATGGTATACAGCATTACTTTTTACTTCAGATAGAAAAAGAAACTAATGACTAGCAATATTTCTTAGTGGGAAATTGTCTTCATTCACTAACAGAAAAAAAAGGCATAAGTAAAGCAATCACTGATATGCTAAAAATGGGGTTTTCCACAGAGTGTTTGAAAACTTGTTATATAATTTTATATGCATATTTCCATACTTCAATAAGTAAGGTAAAAGGTTAACAGATTTAATATTATCAAAAATTACCAAGCAGAGGTTGGTACTTTAGTTTCTGTAGTTTCTATAACATTTTTTGGATAAATAAGAAGTCCTTTTAGTTTC